TGATACTAATATCGATTTATTTTTTTCAAAATTTTATGTTATCTTCAAATTTATATTTCATTTAAAAGTAAAAACATTATCACATAAAATCGTATTATATCGATAAAGACAAAGATTAAAAACTAAACATTAAAATCGAGATTTATCTCGCTATATTGCACGAATTCCCTTCTAGTTTTACAGAGTATATTAGTAAAAATGATATTTTCCCCCTTTTTTCTCCTGTTCAAAAACACTTAAAATTATTTTCTTTTTTCTTCCCTTTCGAAAATACAAATAAAAATATTATTTTCCTTCAATTTCTTTTTCTTTCTTTTCTCATCAGATTTGAGAACACAGCGTTAGACTTGACACCAAGCTATTTTCGTGAGACTTGGTGTTTTTCGTTCATTCATAATATTTTGTTGTAAAGTTTTAGTGTTATTTTGTGATCTCATCAGTCTTACAAAAGTCTCACATGAATCAAACCCATATTTCTTATCAGCTAAACAAAAAATATACATAAAAAATGAATTTATTATTTCTTTAAGATAATTACGATTCTAATAAAATTAACCGTGCATATATAAAATTTTATTTTATATAAAAAAATGAATAAAAATGCAATCGAAAATAAAGTCGGAAACTTATGGAGTATTATGTTGTATTAATAAGGATCAACACTTCTCCCATATTTAAACATGTTTATCAGTTAGTTTTATTAAGGGGTTGTTTATTTACCTCTTAATAGTTCCATTAAAAGACAACTTCAGAATCGTTAAGAGGTGAATTTTGTTTGACGAAAAAAAAATCTATCTCTTAATGGTTCTAAAACCATCTGAATGATTTTGTATCATGGATCTTCCTTAACCATTAAGAGCCCTAACATGATTACCAAACAATTATATTTCATTTTGCACTATATCATGAGAGCTTTTTAATCATTCTGCACCAAATCATTCAACAATTACCAAACAGCCCATGAGTTAAACGTTGTACACATACACTAATAATCTGTAAACTTCAATTTTAAAGAGATTAAATTAATAAACATTACATAATTATTTATTAAAGTTGTTTTAAAATTTTTTATCAAAAACATTATGAAATGATATATATATATATATATATAATGTTTTGAAATCTATTTAATGTATTAATAATTAATAAAATTCATTTTTTAAAATTATGAGAATGAACACAAACCAATCTTTTGGATTAATACTAAAAAGATATCAATTCTTTTTATATGTTTTACTTTTATTTTGTAAAATTAGAAGAGTACTTGTACAATGCAACGAGATACATCTCGATTTTACTTTTTTTTTCATTATTTGTCTATTGATATAATACAATTTTATATGGTTTTGAGAAAGTGGTAATGTTTTTATTTTTGAATGAAATATAAATTTAAAGATAACATAAAATTTTGAAAAATTTAAATCGATATAAGTATCAAATTAACTATTTAATAATAATTCTCGTTTTTATGTGTAACTTCTTTAAATTCAATTTTCTATCATACGTTAATTTAGATTTAATAACAAAGTAATTTATTTTTGGTTTAAAAATATAATATTTTATAAATATAATAATTAAACATTCTGTTAAAACTCATTGATTATCTTAATTATAATTTAGATTTTCTATATTTAAAATGAATGTTTATTCTGTATTTGATTATGTTTATCTGCAATTAGTTATACAAATTCAAAAATTGAGCTTTAATAAGTTGCATTTACGTATAATTTATTTGTATTCTTGAACTTTAAGTAATATGCATCAATAAACAGTACTTCATGCATAAAAATGATTTTTAAGAGTTTTTATCAAATGTTTTATAATATAGTATAGATGCATGTTCGAAGTTAATGTCTATTTAAAAATACGTTTCCAAAATAATATTTTTCTCTAACAAGTAAATAAATATTTTGTACACAACAAAATTTTAAATATGTTGTAAAGAATTATTTTCAAAATAAGGATTATATAAGCTTTTTTGTCGTTTTTTAGCAATTTATTGTTTATAGCCCAAAGAATTTGGATATACCCTTTGTCATGCCTACTTTCCTAGATCTGGATTGGTCCACGTCATCAGTTCACATATATTTAGTATATAAATATTGTGATCTAATTATCATTTTAAGGATACTCGAGCAGTGCAATGCAATGAGATATATCTCGATTTTAATATTTTATTTTATTTTTTTTGTCTCTGTCAATATTGTAATATTGATTTATGTGATTTTGAGCAAACAATACTGTTTTTTTAAATATAAATTTAAAGATATCATAAAAATTAAAAAATATACATAAAAGTACTTTTTTTATGTAATTTCTCTAATTCATTTTTTTTATTATAACTTAATTTAGGTTTAATGACGAAGTAATTTGTTTTTGCTTTAATAATATAATTATTATAAAAATAATAACTAAGTATTTTGTTAGAACTCAATAATTATTCTAATTATATTTTAGATATATTTAAAATATAAATTTTATCTTGTATTTGATTATATTTATCTACAGTTAATTACACAAATTCAAATATGAAGCTTAATAAGTTTTACTTATGCAAAATTTACTTATAATCTTGAATAAGTAATATGCATCAATAAATAGTATTTCATATATAAAAGATGGTTTTTAAGAGTTATTATTAAATGCTTTATAATATAGTTTAGATTACCATAAAAAAATATTATAATAAATTGGATTAAAATAAATAAATACATTTTGATTTTTTTAGAAAATATGAAATACAAACAAAATATTCCTTCCAGGATTATCATGAAATCGCATAATCCTCTGGAAAAGTTTCAAAACAGCCCCCGTATTATAAAAGTATGTCATAATTTCCCCTTCCCATGTCTGCCACTATAATATGGTTGCAAAACCTCACAAACCCAGGCTTTCAAGCAACGATTTCGTATAATTTTTGACTTCATATTTTCAAACCCAACTCCCTCTTTCTGTGACGTACTATCAATCTCCCTGTATATTTATATATACATGCAAAGCAGCTTCGCCGGCGATTATCTGATCGGAAGTGGCAAAGGTGTTGTGATAACTGATGTTCAGTGTATAAATGTCGACGGAACGGCTTATTTCGAAAGGTTCTTTGCAATCGCACCATGGGTCTCTATCTCGCCACTCTTCGTTGTATTGCCCCGAACCGATCCGTATCTTCGATGAACTCCCAAAGGCTACCATTCTATCTGTTTCCCGAGCCGACGTCAGTGATATCGGACCCTTGCTTCTCTCTTACACCATTCAACTCGAATATAAACAGGCAAGCCAAACAGCCAATGTTCATTACCTGTATTGATTGTTGTTATAAAATTGGGACACAAATACCCTTGATTTGCTTGTCTGTGTAAACAATCATTTTATAATGTAATGTGGATTTTATTATCATTATTGTGTATGGTTGGTGGGTGGGTCATGTGGGAAAAAAAGATACATTGCTTAAAGATAGAAAGTTTATGTGGTTAAGCATCTTAATTGGTAATCAAATAAAGGAGATGCATAATTAAGACAGTAATTAATAAGTTGTATATGATTTAATGCAGTTACAAGATTTATTAATGTGAAGAATGCGGTTGTATACAATTTTGGTAACTTTGTGTTAAATTAGTAGCTAATTCTAGATATATGAGGCAGCTACAAGTATTTTCAGGTTCATAAGTGTTACTGTTACCCTTGTTCATCAAGGGTAGTACCGAAATTGTGGGATATGAGTGTTCTTGCCATTCCACATTCAGTATACAGAATCTGCAAAGGCTAGCGTCTAGCGATTGATCTAATTGAGATTGGTAGACTTGAGCTAATCATGCCGTATTATACGTTTTTATGCTGAAGAATATGATAGAATTATTACATGGTTGTTGGCATGTGAATGGCTTGACAAGGTTTAAATTTCTTTGATAAACCATGGAGTTGCAAACGCTCTGTTTTTTTAATTCTTCACAATTAGTTTATAATTAAGCTTGTTGATTCAGAGTTAAAATGGTGGGTTTGCTGAAGACAAGTCATTTAATCATCTCAATAGTCCTTTGCCATATCTTGGTTGATGAATTAGTATACCAGAATATGGAAACTTCTTTTTGGGCATAATCTACCATTATGTAATCTAGGGTAGATCTCACATCATCATCATCTCTCTCTGAACACACTTCAATGTGGTGTCTATATATATATATATAATTTTTTACTAGCATGAATGGATAAATGGTTTAACTAGCTAACCATGTGTACTCCAACAGTTCAAGTGGTGCTTACTAAAGAAGGCGTCACAACTTATCTACTTACACTTTGCATTGAAGAAGCGAGCAATAGTTGAGGAAATCTATGAGAAGCAAGAGCAGGTTCTTTCCATAAACTTCTACGGAATTTTTGGCAATTCTTTTATGTTTTTGTTATTTTTGTGTTAACTTTTTTTATGAACACTATGGACAAAAGGTTAAGGATTGGCTTCAACACATAGGAATAGGAGATCAGACAGCAATTGTGCATGACAATGATGAACCCGATGATGGAGCTATTCCTGTACATAATGAGGATAGCACTAAAAAGAGGTAACTATGTTCATGGATGCTTATTCCGAGCACTTCCCTCCACCAACAAAATTTTCTATCGTGTGTTCTTTCCATATTTGCCAATGCAGATCTGTTCCAACTAGGGCTGCGCTCGCAATTATAAGACCATCAATCAGGAGGACGACTGTTTTGGAAAGAGCAAAAGTTGCAATGCAAAATTATCTTAACCACTTCCTTGGAAACATAGATATTGTGAATTCTCGTGAGGTAACTACAAACCGTTTCTTTTAGAATCCTTAATCTGAATGTAATTTGATCTTATTTTCTATATGTTGTTGTGTAATAATCTTGAAGTACTCAAATTGTGGGATGTCACATACTTCGAACTGCATTTCTTTTTCCTTCATGATTTAATCTTTAATTTCATTTTTTCAACATCTTTGGTACTCTTATAACTGGGGTCAGGTTTGCCAATTTCTGGAGGTCTCTAAGTTATCGTTTTCTCCAGAGTATGGTCCAAAATTGAAAGAGGGGTATATTTTGGTTCAGCATTTAAGTCATATCCAAAGCAATGATGCAGATGCTGGATGTTTTATGTGCTGTTGTTGCAGAAACAATTGGCAGAAGGTTAGTTTTTATAAAATAATATATTCATTATAGCTTGTGAAATAAGATAAGGGATAGCACAAAACAGCAAGTTACAATTTCTAAAATCTAGTTTACGTAATTGTCTGGTGCTTGCTATATGCAGGTTTGGGCTGTATTAAAGCCTGGATTTTTGGCTCTTCTAGAAGATTCTTTTAGTACCAAGCTCTTAGATATCATTGTTTTTGATGCTCTGCCACCTTCAAATGGAGAAAAAGAGGATCAAGTACTTTTGGCAGAGGAAGTAAAAGAAAGGAACCCTCTTCGTTATGCATTTAAGGTCTTCCTCTCTCATTTTACCATATCGGTTTTACATCATTATTATTTCATTCTGTTCTTTAATTCCCTCGTTAATTGTCTTACTTGGAGATATGAGTTGATATGAAGAACTTATCCTACTTAACATCAATCATAATGCGATTTACTTGATGATAGATGTACCAATATGATTTAACAAGTTCTGTGTAACAGGATGGTACATGTTGAGTATGCAAAACTATGCCAGTTACAAGTGTTTATTGTTTATTTTAGTATTTAGATGGAACCCATTTAGCCGTTGCTAAAAAATATTAAATCATTTAGGAGAAACTGAACCATTACCTGCAGTTGTAGGCATTCTGAGCGGTGTTTTTAATATTAATTAGCAATGTTGCTGAGAGATAAAAGAAGGTTGGATTGAGATAGTAGCGCGACAGACTAATGATAATAATATTTAAGACTTTGATAATTAGCAATTATGATTCACATGCTAAGTCTTTAGTTGCAATAGAAGGAAAGAAGCAAAGAATAATTGAGAAGACCTTTCACGAAGTTGAGCATCTGAGTGAGTTTTGCTTTCCCCAATCTCGTCCAATTAGATGTATGTTTCTGATTAGGAGAATGTTTTCCTTGATTATGTTGTTTTTTATTACATAAAACCAAGATTTACCATAAAAGCATGCACCATCTTGGATACTGTTTACTAGCATTTCAGTTTATATGTAATACCTTGAAGTAAAAACACTTCACCCTTGATTTGATACAACCTGCATATTCTGAAGTGCCCCCTTTCGACAATGTAATGGTCAAACCTTATTAAAAAACATAGCATTAGATCTTTTACATTTCTTAATCAGAAAGTTGTTTTGAAATATATATACACACACACAATATTTGAAAGTATTTGCAAATAGTTAAGGCTCAAGGGATGTAGTGGAAATATCATCTTCACGGGTTCGAATCCGGGTGCTGCCAAAGCCTTTGTGGCCATGGAGGTTCACTTGATATGACTCCATGCCGTTCGTGGTCCCTGGGGGATTAGTCGGTGTGCGTAAGCTGGCCTGGAAACCCATGGTTACCAAAAAAGAAGTTGGAAAGTAATTTGTATGACATGAAAGAGTCAAAAGGGAAACCTAATGTGGAAATGAGGGAGTTATGAATTCTAAATGATACCGAATATTTTGCAACATTTATCGATAATCGCTCAGTTGGTCTATATGTGTGTTTCTAAAGATGTCTATGATATATATTTGATGTGATCCCAGTAATTAGATAGAGATGATAAAAATTCTTTTTTGTATTTAAATTTCTAGCATACACACACATAAGACTAGAAGTTTCATCATCTCGACAATACAGGTTACATGTGGAAACCGAAGTACAAAGATAAGAAGTACAAGCAAAGCAAAAGTCAGAAATTGGATAACAGCCATCAACAATACAGGTCAAAAGCCAATTGAAGGTTGGTGCAATTCTCACCGTTTTGGTTCTTTTGCTCCACAAAGGGGTTTGACAGATGATGGTAGTCAAGCTCAATGGTTCGTAGATGGACAAGTAGCATTTGAAGCAATTGCTTTATCGATAGCAAATGCAAAATCGGAGGTACAATATTATGTCTTCACTCTAAACTCTGGGATCCCTTGTATTATGGAACAACAAGTTAATTGACCGAATCTTTCATCTTTCATGCAGATCTATGTTACTGGGTGGTGGCTCTGTCCAGAACTATATTTAAGGCGCCCATTTCATGCAAATGGGCCTTCTCGGCTTGATGCACTTTTTGAAGCTAAAGCCAAGGAAGGTGTGAAGGTACAATGGTTATTATATTGTTATCATCTTGGTTTAAAAATGCGCGCATAATGCGCTGTGATGCGCTGAAGAAAACGCATCAAAGGGTCTGATGCGTTGCGATTCCATGATGCACTCGCATCACCTACGCATCACACGATGCGTGCATCACTTATGCATCAGAGCATCATGTATGTTGCATTTTTGGGCTCCCTTTTTCAATTTTTAGTTGGGCTTCTTAGTTAAGTAAAATAGAACGTGAGACTGTGAGAGACCTAATAGAAGAAGCCGACAGCGAAGAAGTAGAAGTCGCACTGTGAGAGACCTAGCATCGCATATCAATTAAAACGTGACGTGAGTACTCGACAACCAGCAAAGAAGTAGAAAACGAACTTTTTAAGATTCTAATGCCACTTTTTTAACTACTTTATGTTATAAATGAAATATTTTGATAGGTAAGTATTTTTAAGGTAGAAATTGATATGTAGAATTAATTTATAAATATTTTGTGAATACCGGGCGCATCACGTGCGTGATGCGAGCGTGATGCGAGCGCATCAGCATCATGCATCACGCATCACGCATCGGCTTCCGGGACCCTTAACGCATCGGACCGCATCGCGCTTTTTAAAACCAAGGTTATCATGTGTTTTAGTTATGTTGGCTCCTGTTAGGAACTTCGGGATCCCCTTTCATGAGTTGTTGCACATATGTATGTATATAATATATATGGTGTTGGGTTCAAACGATGTAAGAGAACACTAAAACGTCTATATTACATGTGATTTTAGACTAAAATCACATGTGGCGTTCTTGTGTTCTCTTATTCTGATTCTGTTCTCGTTTGAACCTTTTACTATATAGGCATAATCAAATGAGAACCATATGTTGTGAGAACTGTAAGAACTTTTACCTTAATTTATTCTTTCGCATGATTTTTTTTCTTCATATAAGTTAAAATTTAAGGTATTGATTTAACATGTATTTGTTTCACAACGTAGAACTTTTTTACTTGTACTTGTGGTATCACAAACACATAAAAGAGGTTCACACTGTGAAACAAATATAATGTTAATCAATACCTTAAACCCTAGCCTTATTTTGCTCCCGTTCTCATGGTTTGTAACCTTTTTGTGGTTCTTACATGATTAGCCCCTATATGAAAAAGAATACACACACACACACATATATATACTAGAAGGGTACTCGCGCAATGCAGCAAGATACATCTCGATTTTAATGTTCTATTTTATTATTTGTCTCTGTCGATGTTATAATACGATTT